TTATACCAAATGGCCATTGCGAGTTTTTATCCATCAATGCTTGTAAAATAGGGTATAATGTCATATGACTACTGTAAAGATGACGCCCTAAGCAATGGTCTGTTTGGTTGATTTTTTATGGCAAACTCTTTTGCGTTATTTAATACCGAAATCTAAATATTTTGTTTTTACGTAATTTTATGCTTCCAGCAACAGATATTTTGTACATAATTTTATATTTTCAGAGTAAAGGTATATTTTTTAGACGTATATTTTGTAGATCATAATATATATTTTTAGTTAATTTAATATATACAAAAAATGTACTCTTGCTTTTTGTTTGGGTGTTCATCAAATGTCCATAACTTTGAACGCTAACAAGAAAACGGCTCCGGGTTTTGGTGGAGCAGGAAACAACAGCAATTAAGACTCTAAACTGGGAACAAATTAAAAACAATGATTTTGAATACCTACGGAACTATATTGCAAACTCTAAAAATAATATGTCCATAGTATAGGCAGACCGTGGGGTATCCTTATATATAGAACAGGGAAATCGGAACATTCCGCCCAGAGGATTAATGTTTACATTGTTTGAATATCTCCATCTTCTCAACCAACTGGTTTTTATATCGTCAATGGAGAAAATATAAAACAACGGATCTTATACGAGAATGCTCCGAGCACTGCTTGACGTCTCATGGTGCCAGCAACTGTCAAATAAATATAGATTTGGTGTATAACCATTATATATTCTCTGAAAGCAAATGTAAGCATCATAATATATGTAGAACAATATTGTCGGTTTAATGAAAACCTTGTGCTGCTGTGTTAGACAGCTCATAGCAAAAGTAATATAACTAGATCAGCAAAAGCCTATGTCGAACTTTTATAGACGGTTCAAACGGGCGTATAAAGAGAGCATTACCGTGAAATGGTAATATCGAAAAGGAATATATTTACAGAAAAACGCTTAAACGATGTAACGGGAGTCTAGAATTATAGCTCTCTCATTTTTAGTAATGTGTAAAAACAACTAAAATCAAAAAGCACCAAATACAAAATCTTCTTTAAATTTCTGGGATGAGGATTTATCTTTATTTACTCTGTTTATATTCGGACTATTTTCATCAATCTTTGTTGTTGTAATTACAACGTTTTGTCTATTTTTTACTTCCTTCCCCAGTGCTTTCTGAACTGAACCCTTTATTTAATATACGGGCTTAGACTGTTCTCGTTCCGCTGCTCGTATCTAGTTCTTATTTTAATTTAGTATTGTCATTTATTGCTCGCCCGTTTCTACTGAGTACTCACTGCCCGAACCAGGGAGTGAACATTATGTAACCAAATTTGAAAACCAACACTTTTACCTCATCTTATGAGACAATAGCTTAGTGGGTAAAGATGAGGACATTTGTTCGAATATAAATAATGTACAAAAGACCAAACGATATATAATAAATATATAATACATCAAGAACTGTACTTAACGTAAAAATCAAATCCTTCATCTGACAGAGAGATGACTACTGGACAACAATTTTTGTCTTCGACTGAGTACTGATGAGAGAGGAACGACCAACCGCTTAAGGTGTTTTTCTTTCCTTTTTTATTATTAATTTATGTACTGTTCGATATCGCCACTTTATTTTAAGGTTTGTTAAAATTTCATCTTGATTTAATCGCAATTATTATTATTATTATTATTATTATTTTTTATTATTATTATTATTTCTTTCTTCTTCTTCTTTTTCTTCTTCTTCTTCTTCTAACCATTTATAGATGTTCGTTAAGGAGGTTATGTATCGCTTTTTCTCTCTGACTCTTTCCTTCAATCCTTCTACTTAGTATCAAATTTTTCAAGCCTTGTTGTCTCATTTATTTACCCTCAAAATTTCAACTATCTCTTTCTGATGTCAAGTATAAGCGTCTTTTTTTTTTTTCTCTAAACTTCGTCGCTACTCGCATCTTTGCCGTCCATAGTATTCTCAGTATTCTTCTGTTGAATATTTATGTTGCTTTAAGATCTAAATTCATCTGTTCCCATACATTCACTTTTACAAAATAGACAAATTATGTTACAGTTCATTATGCAAAAAATAGAGGAAAGAGTGGAGAGCCCGTGTTTATTTTTTAGAGCCAGTTCTATGTAGTAGTAGTAATAGTAGTGGAAACAGTAGTAGAATTAGTAATAAATATCTATTAAGTATATATTAGCTAAAATTGCGCACCTTTAATACACATTGTTTTCCTATAAAATAACATCTTTTAATTATTTTAGAAACATTGACTTTCCAGAATGAAATCATTTCTTCACTTTGAACATGTAATTTGCGAAACTAGAAAACGTTGATTCAGCATTAAAATTTACAATTTTATCAACGTACGAAAGTAAAAAGAAGATAAACATACGTCTGACCACGTGACGCAGTGGTAGGAGGATAAAGCCGTATTTTCTAGAAAATACTTTTTTTAAAACTGTTCAATGTTAAGGTTCAGTTTATATTTAAACAATAGAAACACACACACACACACACACACACACACACATATATATATATATATATATATATATATATATATATATATATATATATGAAGAATTAATGGATTTATTTTTAATCCAAGAGTTTTATTATAAATATAAAATGTGTTCATTGAGGTCAACACCAAGTGGTACAAAGTGTTTCATGCTTAAATGCAATGTTCTAACTATATATATATATATATATATATATATATATATAATTTATGAAAAACTTGGTAATCCGTATGGGTAATCCCGGTGTCATTTAAAAGGGCTCTGGTGAAATAAATTATTATAATGGAATCTTAAAGTGGTCTGTTTTTCTTTAAAATATATATATATATATATATATATATAACTGAAAATAGAACTTTCCTGTTCATTGCCATTAACTTACCAGTCATATTCCCCACCCCATAAGAGTTGATTAACTGTTGATTTGTTTTTTGTTAATAGTTACAGACTGAAGCAAACATAGGTGTGGATGTCATGGATAAGAAGATGACAATATCTTGAGTCCCACTTTATTTCCAAAAGTTGTGGCTAAGAATACCTGCAAATGTTCTTGGATGTTTTTTTAATAGAACCCTTAGTAATTGGATTATTTTTATTTTTTCAAAGCTCCAACTTAGTAGCTTAGCTGTGAGGAGGGTGGGGGTGATAACTGTGTTGTTTCTCAACTTCATTTACTGGAGGTTGGGCAGTCTATTTCCTCCATCTCACTTTTAGGAGATGGTCTTGAAATAATATGCTGATAGTTTACCATTGTTCATTTTCACAATGTAGTATTGTGGTGTGGGGTCATTTCCAATGACTGTACCTTCCTGATTAGGGCTCAAAAATAGTCAGCAACTACAATATATATCTGGCCATTTAGCTTGAATAAATCTGAAGCTAGGGTATGCCTTGATCTTGCTGGGTGTTTGGTTATCATTAGTGGTTTGGCCATCTAATATCATGGCCTGGCATACATCTCAGAGTCTTTCACCACATTCTCTATTTGGTTAGATAATCCTGGTCACCAGATTGATTGGTATACTTGTTGTCGGCATCTTGGTTGAAGTGGATTTTACAAATGCTCATTTATCTCATGAACTCGTTTTATGAGAGATAAGCTCATACCATTGTGGTATTTGCATTCATACAACTCCAAGGCTAAAAGTTGATGCATATACAGAAATTACTGTTCTCTCTTGAAGGGCTATATACAATGATTGAACTGGTGCTGAACATAAGGCTGTTTTTTATGGAGTTGAAGGCTCTTTTTGTTCACACTCCCACACAAAAGCATACATCTGACTCAGAATATCCCATAAAGGCTTCATCATATCTGTTTGGAAGTTTGGAATGAATGTCCACATTATATGAATAGATGTAAAAGTCCTTGGATTTGTAAATGTATTTTTTATTTCAGGGAAATATAGGGTCATAGATTAAGTGGCAAAATATGTGAGGTAAATAACTATGTCTCCTTTAAAAGAAAATTGACAACAGAAAATATAAAGTAGAATTATTTGTTGTTTTTCTCTACAAATGTCATGCTACTCTCAATAGACTAGAGCAGGTGTGTTGTGTGGCTACTGGTGGGAACGATGCTCACTTGTCATGAATAGTATGATGTTTTAGGATGAGATTACAGATGACAATAATGAAGTGTAAAAAGATGTACAAGATATAGTGTTATAAATCAAGTGGGAAAACATGAAAGTAAATCACCATGCCTCCTTGAAAAGACAATCATAAAGAAAGATCAAATAAAATGGACAATGGAATAAGTGAAGATATTTTTTAATCACTTTCTTTCTATACAATTTTTGTGATGATAGATTTACAAAGTTTTTTTTTTTAGATTAATGTATGTTTCAGTTATATATATATATATATATATATATATATATATATAAAAAGCTTGCATGCATATTTTTGTTCTTCTCCCTCAATAAATGCTGTGCTATACTTAATAAACCAGACGGATAGAGCAAAATATAGATGGCTACTAGTGGAAATTGCCCTCACATGTCAGGTGTGGTATAATGTTTCGGGGTAGGATGATAAATGATGAAGTGTGGGCTTATGGCAAATTCCAGATGGTGTTTAGATGACAACTCAGGCTTACACTAATTTTTTGAAGGCACACATATAGCCTTATTTCAAGAAGAAGGCAAACATTTGTAGAAAGAAGATGATTATGCATAACTCTGCTCTATCCTAATCACTGGTGAAAAACAATAAATATCTAAATAAAATGGATTTTAAAGACATTTGTTTATAAATGGGGATAAACTAGAAAGAATTGATATGAGCTATCTCCTAAGCATTACCAAGAAGTTTGTCTTATAATTTGGTCAGAATGTCAATTGAATCCTTAAAAATGATATTTTGTTGAGTTCACTTTTCTAAGTCATAACATCTGCATATTATTAACTAAAAAGTTGTATATATTATGAGAATTTATTTAGATTTTTATCAGTTTTGTGTAAACCATCTGGAGAACTTAGACTATTTCGGGTATTTCCTGGGAATGACAGTAGGAATAATAAGTGGAATTTTCATCTTGCAGTATTTCAGCAACTGACCAGCAGAATTTGTATGACTCCTGAAATAAATTAAAAAGATTATAATAAAAAAATCAGAGTGGTTGATGCACACAACATACTCTATACATATATGTATATGTTGACCCTAAACAAAAACACTGACATTTCAGCATACTTTAACAATAGATACTTAAGCTTGTATACCTAAAATCCTGCTATATATACACTCACAATCTCAATTATAAATATGAATTAATTGTGAATCCAATGTTTGATAAGAAAAATGGATAATAGTAAATTGAAGAAATTTCTAGATATTTGCTAAGCAGTGGATTTAATTTTGTTATGCTTGATGAATTTATCACAGACTATTTTGAATATTTATTTGGAAAATTAAGATAAAGTTCTGAAGGTGCATATTTTATAACAATTCAAAATGTTATTTAAAAATTTAATATTGAAAAAAGTAAAACTACTTCTTCAATTTTGAAGTAAAAAAATACAACTTTGATCCAGGCTATAAATGTGGACATTTGCTCGATCAAATGGGATGCCAAACATTTGATAACTAGGATCCCTAAAGATATTAAAATGTCATTTTATAGCAAGACGAGATTGTCCCACAGAAGAGGAAATATTTAACAATACTCATTTTATTTTCAAGTAGATGGACAATCTTTAAAAGAAATAGATTGTGGTAATTTAAAAATTTCACTGGATATCACAGTTCATTGGGTGTTTTTCTGTTTTATAATGTTTGTTTGTTGCTAAATTGAAGATTTGCAGAAATTCTTTCGCAAAAATCTTTGTGTTAATTTCTAATATGCATCATTTCTGGTATGCATCATTCAACATGAAAAGAGAGAATGGGATTTTTCTTCTTCAGGATGTTTCCTGAATGATAAGTATGATGTTGTTTGCTGATGTCACTAAAGTTTCTCTTAGTGTGTCCCATTTCAAGTTTTCATTTTCATTTCGTCCGTTGTATATACTTTTCACACTGTCCATATATTTTTCCTTGAGGTTCAGGTTGTTCAGGAGTCTGTTGTATTGCAATTTGGGTGCTGCATTAGGCTTCTTCAGTTTCCATAGTTTCACTATTAGGTATAATAGGGATGTGTTTGCTTCATTTTATTGTCACTTGGATAGGTTTTGAAGTGAACAACTGAATTCCTGAATCTTTTATTGATGGGTATGTAGTCAATTTGGTTTTTAGTTTCTCCTCCTGGATGTTTCTCCTCCTGTCCATAATTATTTTGGATGTTCTTGGGGTCAGGTGTTAGCTATTACCTAGTCATTTTCTGTGCACCATTGGACCCATTTTTTTCCATGTTTGTTGCAGGTCCCTAGTTTGAATTTACCAACTATCTCTCCTGCCATCTCCTTGCCTACTTTGGCATTCAGGTCTCCCATGATAATTATAATTTCTTGTGATTTGCACTGAGCCTTGGTGTTTTCTAATGTAACTGAGTAGATATTAATGACAGAAATTAAAATGCGTAAACATGCAACAATAACAACAATAAAAACTTGAGACACGAGTTCATATAAATAACAAGAATTAGTATTTTCTTTTTGCAATGTGAATTACAGAATATTGGTAAGGTGTGTGTAAAAATGTTCCCAGTGTTTCTTTTGTTTAAAAGTCAGTGATTACTTGGTTTGGTTCTGAGAATTTTCTTTGTGAGGATGCATTTGAAATCATCTGTTTCTGATCTTCATGGCTAGATATGTGTTTCTGTACTGCTACTTGTCAACTGACTACTGCTACTGATAGCTAGTCTACTCCACTGACTCACTTGTGGTGGAATGGTTGTTTTTATAATGATGAGGGTTTGGATGATGAAATATTCTTATTTTCTGTTACCACTGATGGCAAGGTTATTTTATAATGATGAAATATCCTTATTTTTTAATCATCACTGATAGCAAGGTAATTTTTAGAATGATGAAATGTCCTTATTTTCTGCCATCACTGATGGCAAGGTTATTTTTAGAATGATGAAATATCCTAATTTGTTAATCATCACTGATGGTCAGGTTATTTTTAGAAATAGGAAATGTCCTTATTTTCTATCATCAATGATGGCAAGGTTATTTTTAGAATGATGAAATGTCCTTATTTTGTTATCATCATTGATTGCAAGGTTATATATTTTTCAAAAATCATTGTTTGATTCAACTAAGGCAACTCAAGAAACAGTACTAAAAATTTTGAAATTATCTTAAAATATTATTTATAATATAAAACTGTTTATACAATTCTCTTTAAGACTATGTGATTAGTATTAAAAATTCATATTTTTTCAAATAGTAAAAATATGTTCATGAAGCTGCATTAAAAAACCATTCTTATCCTTTCAGAGAAATATTTACCAGACATTTTTTATTTTCAATTTTCCCCACTTTTACATATATTTAATTGGTTAACTCCACAAATTATCCTTTTAATTAATTTTGTCTTCTTGTTAATATAAATTGACTTTAATCATTAAAACTATGTATACTGGTTATATTGTATCATAGCAAAGTTTTCTTCGTCTTCTGTGAAACAAATTGTACATGTAACAAAAATCACAATAAATTTTGTAAAGATTATCAAAATTATTGTTTGTCTAAAATTCACATTTTTTGTAAAGTATTTTCAGACTTTGTTGATACAAGATTTTGTAAAATGTTGAAATTGTTTTCTGATTGTATGATACAATTATATTTTCTGTAATAAATTGGTATAAATAAATTAACTCATTATTTTTGCAATATCATCTAAAATGCCTTTAATTTATGGTGAATAAAGTGATTTTTGTGCATTTAGTTATTTTATGATAGAAGAGGTTATTTTTTTCTTTCTTTGTACATTTGCATTTATGGAAATAATTCAATAATTTTAAGCTGCTTGGTAATAGTATATATAGTTGGTAATTAACTGATTATTGGATATTACTAACAAGTGACTTGCTAAACATGTTCTCATTAATTGTTATTTAGTAGTAATTTAAGTCTCCACATGTCCACCTCCAGTTGTGCAGCCTTCTTGCTATTTTCTAACTTTACAAGAGCCAGATCTGGCTGAAAATGGATTACTGCTGCCTTCTATGGGCAGGAGCTGCTTAGTCTTTACATTCTGAGTTCAAAAGCATCTCCACTGCATCACAGGTGATGAATTATGTTCCAACTTACAACCCCCTTCCCTGATCACTACAATCTTAACCTGTTTAAGTCTAGGCTCAAAGATTATTTTCCCACCCACATATCCCCATAAACTGTACCTCTTATTCTCTAACCCTCTACCTTAAGTGGCTCTTGGGACTTGTACATTATTTAAAAAAATGATCAAATTGCATTTCCACTTTCCAATGATTTAATATCCAAAGAATCTTGAATTGATTAGTTCCTAATATCCTGGCATTATTTGCCTTGACTAAATTACCTTACATAAATTACCAGAGACATTCTCTTTCTTTAACTAAGTCCAGAGATCTCTAATATTCATAGAGAGAAGATAATTTGGTTTAATTTCTTTATTATTTCTGTTCATCTGAGTCCATTCACAGACATTGTACAGACTATTAAACTAATCAATAATAGCTAATTATTAATAATAATTAAGCTAATAATTAGCCTAATTATTATTAAGTTAATAAATAATAGCTAATTACAACTTACAACAAAAGCTTTTTCCTTTCATGATGTTATTCAACTTTTCTTAACAGTTACATGAATGACAATTTAAAAAAAAACTTTTCATCACCCACATTTTATAGAAGACAAGAAATATAGAAAATTCTAAAAGTCAGTAATATATTAGTGCTGAGTTTTAGATTTATGCATCATTGTCACCTGTTGATATTTAAGATGTGAGAGACAAAACAGTTAATAAAACATTTTATACTTACATAGTCAGTGACAATTTGAGGATTTTTTTTCTTCATGGACCGAAGAAGTCTCAAAATGCTGACCGTCTCATTCATTCTTATCTTGCAAATCATCACACATAGAACACAAAAAATACTACTTTTGGTGATGCCATCCCTAAAATTGAATATAAAATTTTGTCCCTTTAAAAAACAGAAGCCATTATTATTTTCAGTATTTATTTTATACATTTACCAAAGAACTGACACTGTACAAATCTTCATGCCTGTAGTTTAAATTGAAGGAATTTATTCAGTTGACTATCTTGTTTTATTTTCATATCATTTGTCAGTTCTCCTAAGTTTGTATGCAAAAGATAAAGCCTAATTTCAAGAATTTGAGTTGACTTTCTTTGCATGTTCATCAACAAGAAAATATCAAAACAGCAATTACTGGATGCAATTTAACTAAAAAAAAATGGTTTTTTTAAGAAAGATAATATGACAAAAGGAAAAATCATTTGCATCTTGAATGCAAAAATGTTTTCTCTTTAGCTACAGATTGTCTATTTAGACTCTTATCAGCAGGTGAGTGATAAGCATAATTATAGTAATTAATTACATGGCTATAGTTTTATTTTTTTAATGGAAAATAACGAGGATAGAGAAGTCCCAAATAATTAAGGATAGAGCTGTGATAAACACCAGTATTTACACATTATAAACAAAAGGAATAAATTCTTATTCTTACTTGCAATGAATAAGAAGTTGTTTTCTTAGTCCACAAGAATTAGTAACAGTTTGAATGAGATCAGTGAGATCAGATGGAAAAGGAAGCTGCTTTCTTTGCCAAATTTTGGACTGGAATTGAACAACATAAACTGGTTCAAGTGCATTCTGGGTGAAAAAGAAAGAAGAAATATTTGAAAATGATAGATTTTGAAACAAACAGATTTTTGTTGTTTAAGGCAAACTTTAACAGAATGACATATTTTTAGAGCACTCAACAAGATTAAAGTTGATTCTAAGTTGCTTGTTTAAGACCAAGTACTCCTATATGGAGTAACTTTGTTTCAGATTATACAAGGGAGTGTTGAAAAGTTCTTAGCTTGTTCCAAAATCCATTGTAAATCCTACCTCCCTGATGTTTGGTTACATGGTTAGATATTTTTAAATTGGTTGGGTCAATAAATTTTCAGCACTTCTTTATATTCATACTCTAATATGGTAAGGGTTTAATAAGGTTAATATTTAATAGTATTTAGGCACAAAGCACCATTCACAAGACTTCTTTCTGTTACCTGCATGCTAATTAGGATTCATTTCACTTGGGTGACAAGCTGGCAATCGAGGAGTTTGTACCATCTCATGAATACAAGATAAGATCACAATCTTCATTTTCATTTACACCTACCTGTTCAACTGCTATAGCCCACAGAAATTACTTTATCCACTTATATGAAGGTGACAACTCTAGTCACAACAGAGGCCCTCTTTGTGTCTGTTCATGATAATTGCAAACATGTCCTCAATGAAGCCTCTCACAAGTTTGGTTCTTGTGACTACCAGCAGCTCTATAATAGTGTGTTAAAAAAGAGGTAAAGCCCTCCTCTCTTCAATCAATTTGAAGTGCTATCATCTTCTCCTGATAACCCCCCACCCCACAATTCTACACGCGATTCATCAGGTGTATCTTTACCAGACTTTACACTTAGAACTAAGCTTTGACTATGATCTGCATATAAGTCCATCTATCATCTCTTTACTTGATCTCCACAAAATTGGAAATTTCTAATGATGAAAAAATATAAAAAAGAGTGAGAAGAATGAAGAATGTGTGATGTTTCTTTTTGATTCACAATACTTAGTTCTTTTTAACAAGACATTTCTGGTATTTAGAAAGTTATACAAACTCACCATCACTTTCTCTGCAATCTTTTGGGGGAGTTGACATTTGCATATTTCAGCTTGTAAAAACAGAATAGTCCTATGATATAAAACAATCTGAGCTCATATACAGTGGACTGAAAAGAATATGGTGTTGTAATTTGAATGATATGAAATGCTGAAGAAATCCAAGTTGATGGTAAAGAGAAAGGAAGCACAACACCTTCCAAAGAGAATTATTACTTATAAATCTTTTAGGAGGGCATGGTGGAGTAATGGATAGTGGCTCAGGTTGAGGAATCGCAGAGCCAAGTTCGAATTCAAATGAAATCCATTACATTCACTTACATGCTAATAACCTTGTAACAGATTTGTCATGGTCAGCCTGCGGTGAATCCTGGTTTGATTAATAGGGTGATCTCTTTGATCCTGACCCAGCCTACCCCACGCTGTGATTGATTGATTATAAGGAGGCCAAGATCGATTTGTCGCAGGTTTCTTCATATTGGGCTGGTCCAGATCAAATGAAGTTGTACAGTAAAATTGGAGGAAAAAACAGCACTCAGAATATATATAAAAATATTTACTCTTTTTATATCAAATACTGTCTACAATGATTCATTAGTATTTGTGTTAGCATACAGGTGTTTGTCAACCCAACTTGTTTCTACATCAGATGCAACACTTGGGGTAACTGGTAAGTTTTGTCTTGTAGAGTTAGCAAAATGTGTTTTACTGATTTGGTAAGTCTGACTCAAGGCTGAAGTCGGAGGTTCTCGTGTTCAACAGGAGTTGTGGAACCTCTTCCACTTCCCTTCTGTCTCTTCTCAACTCTCAAAACGCAACTCAACTTTCTGAATTCACTTTACACATTTGCATTTATGGACTCCAACTAGAAACCTGTGCAGGGCAAGATGTAGGTTGGGTTTTGGTGAATCCCCTGATTTCCAACAAGAGTCCATTGTTGTCTGCCCCCACAAAATGATGTAGTTTGTGGGTGGGGAGGAACTGGTATTTCATCCACCTGGTATCTCCATTGTTTTTGGTCCTGAGAAATTAAATTCATAATTTTAAAGAATTCCTCTTTTCTCATGGGAGATGTGTACAGGCATCACTCTGCCTAGTTACTTCACCTCCACCATTTGATCAAGGACTAATTAAAAAAAAATTATTGTTTCAAATGCTATCTTCTCATAAGTGAATTGACACAACAATTGGCTTCCTTGCCTTTGAACCAAGAGACACTTTTCCAGCAAAAATTTTGCAACTCACATTCTGGTGACAATTTGTTTGGCTGAAGGTCACCATATATGCTGGTGTTCAGTTTATTGTTTTCAATCCTGACATCTTTGCAAAAGGATTTTATTTGTAACTGGCATTTAACCCAATACTTCTCATGTTGCTTTCACAGACATTGTTTGTCAAATACTGTCAACACTTGGCTCGTGGTACAGACCAAGCATTGTTCTCAGCCAGTCACCTGGTTCATTTTATAGACCTCTATTCTCTGGGAATCAATTGCTATCAGTCTATGATACTTGATATTCTTTTAACCCTTTTCATGCTAGTTTATTCATCAATATCTCATTTTTGTTGATATTCCAAGTCTTTATTATTATTATTAATTACCAGCAACCCAAATAGTGTTACATCCTTGGGAAACATATGAATCCTCTTCTTCTACCCCACCACTGCTATGGGTAAATCACAAGACAGACCAGTTTCTATAACCTTGGATGGTAATTGGTCTACCGCAAAAAGAAGTGGCAACCTACTGCGGGAAAAAATCTGCCTCGTCAGTCATGTATCGAAAGACACATGATTGCCTAAGTGTGTATCCTGCATGGCATATAACTGACTGAAATCATTTGATGGGTTTTAATTTTTTTTGTATTTAATTGAAGTGAGTTTTGAAGCATTAAATTCATTATTTCTTCTGACATTTATCAAACATTTTAATTAAATTTGTTAAACAAATTAATTCGGGAAAGCTTACTTTAAAGAAGAAAAAAATTCAAATAATCACCTGTTTAGTTGAAGAAACCTGAAAATATCTTTGAAAAAATGTTTTACTTTCAGTTGTATTTTTCAACTCCACTTTTATGGACCCATACACTTTAATACACTTTATCTTTTTAAAAATATATACTGAAGCAAACTAAAAGCAAAAATTAAAACCTTCAAGATTTATACCAAAAGAAGATGAAAGGAAAAGCAAATTCAAAGCTGTAAGTATTCAACAATGTAAGTTCAACAGTTGTATCTTTGTCTTTCAGAACTGTTGCATTTTGAAAGTATTCATGTAAACACAATGCATGGAGAGCTACAGATAATGCATTGAAATTTGAAAATGAGGCTTTGCAAAAGTTAGAGCCAATGGACCTAAAAGATTAATATCATCCCAGATTTTAAACACAGATTTCATCAAGTCTAGGGCCTTCAGCTTGTCTTTATAGTAAAGTTGATTTAATTTCTATTTGAATTTCTACAATGAGGTGTTATCATTTACATGTAGACTATTGTCCTCATCTTTGTTGTTGTTATCACAACATTTTAGCCATTATGCTCTCCTGTCTTCATCAGGTGCTTGTTAATCCTGGTAATCATCAGAGAATTTTGAACTGAACCTTTCATTTAATCTTCGGAGATTGTTCTCAATCTACACTCTGTGTTCAGGAATATCCTGTCTAGTTCTTATTTAATACTGCTCAATTATTGCTTGCTGAGTCCAAGTATACACAACCCAAAATAGAAAATGGAGTATGTAATTAATGTTACCAAATTCATGAAAGCAATCCTTTAATCCATTAACTATTGTTCCATGGGACAATTCAGAAAATTTGGAGCCTTGAACCTAACCTGCCTGCTGATGGCTGCTGCTGCTACCTGCCATGCATGACAACACTCACCAAGGCTTCACTTTTTACTGTAGGTGCTGCTACTTTTCAAGCCTTGCTGTCATTTATTTTTGTGTCTTTATTAACTGCTCCTATGTTGTACTTATGGTCTAGGATATGCAATTATTCATTTAACATATGCACTTATTTATTTAGATGTCTGTTATTCTAGTGTTCCTTCCTGTCCAGTATTTTTACTTAATTCCTCAGGATTTGATGACTATTCTTTTCTTTGTATACATAATCAGCCATGTTTCTTCTTGGATTTTGCAAGTCCCAATTATTTTACATCTTTCTCTATTTGAGATTGTTATAGACAAGCGTATGGTTGCAAGGAAGAAATACGACAACAGCAGAAATAGATTTAAGTGGTTTATTTCAACAGGAACATGTGGGTTTGGGACAGCTACCTTGTGGTAAAGTTCATAAGGTGGCTTCAGATCTAGGTCGATCACTCATAGTAGTTCACACACGTTAACAGTGGTTATGCTCCCCTGCTGCTGATCACTCAGCCTGACCGTGACAGGTTTATTTTGTGGCCACCTGTCGACTGCCCATTGAACTTCCGTGTGACCCCTTTGATAGCGTTTTTTTATGGCTTAACAGGCTCAAAAAACGAAGCGAGTATAAGTAGGAGGGAAGCATTTTTATTGGATGAAAAATAGAGCACTTTAAATATTATTTTATTTTTTGACTGGAACACGTGTCGGGAACATTTGTAAAGAAAGATAATGGTCATTTTGTGATGGGGCTTTGTCCCGTTCACATCCGGTTCTTGCTCTTGAGTATTTGCCTGTAAATCAGCCGAGATATGTCTTATTTTATTTTATAATAAGATGTACCAGGGAGACATGTTTCACAGATGGCCAAGGTATTGATCCTGCAGAGTGCATTACAGATGAAGTCTGATCTGCATTCTGGATTAGAAAAGCATTTGTTTAAGGCCTCTTTTCTCATCTTCTATTTGACCTGGAGAGGCCACACATACATGTACATGTGAGTGAGAGAGAAAGAGAGAGTGAGATGGAGAAAGGTAATTTAAATAAAGCTAAATATTTTTCTCATTATTTCCTTTGCCATAATTTTATTTTCTATTCAATCAAAACTAAAACAGATTTTAATTTTAATCAAAAAAAACTTTCAAAAAATAAATTTTATAAAATTATAGCACAAATAATAAAAAGGTAAATTCTTTATTTCTGAGCAACTCACTTTAGGTGTATCATCAAGCATGACGATGATTGAGTACCTCTTCTCATAAATAAGCTTCCAAAACATGTCTGCATTTTTTTTGGATGGTTGAAGGGTTAACATAAATTCATTCTTCATGAAGAAACCCTAAAAGACAAAAAAACAAAAGCAAAAACCTTTCTTGATAAATAGATAAATATTTCACAACAAAACAAACATCTACATTCTGCCAATCATTTTTAATCTGGTTGTACTAAGTTGCATTAACATCATTAATAGCTTTAAAGATTTGAACTTTAGTTTTGTTTGATGTCAATTATGGTGTTTAACATTCCCATGACAAATATTTTGTTTGTATATAAAACCTTGGATAAGTTCTTGTATGTAGAAGTTCCTTTGCTAAGATTTGAGAATATTTACAACTTTCAATTTTACTTGATAAGATTAATTTAAACTCAATATTCTTTTCATTTAAGTCTTCATGTAAGCAATCAAAGATTTATCTGATCAGCTTATTAAATTTGTGAACTTTAGGTTAACTAACACTTAAATACCTCATGAATAGAATCATTATTTATCATGTACATCTTTCTTTAATCTAACTTTGACAACCCAAGTCAATTTGACTGATTTACTTACATCAACAAATATAGGTTCATGGAAAGTTTTGCAACTGGCTTTAAACACTGAAAGAAAATTAAAATTTAGTGAATAATAAAAGAAAACAGAAATAAAAGAAGAATAAAGGAATTATTAAAGATTGTCTTTTATTGACAAAAACCCTTTTCCATTCTTGTAGCTTCAGGTCATTTGAGTTTCTATGTGGGAAATGTGATGAAAGCACCTGTTGAAAAAAATCCTAAACTGATAGTCTGTTTTTTTTAGGAAAAGCTAAATTGTCCCATTTTCAGTGCATGACAGAGTGAACAAGCAATTCCATTATGGTCATCAAGGTATTAGCCGTATTGCATGCAACTACGTTTATTGGTCAAACAGGGACAAGCAGTTGAGTGGAATTGGTACGCACATGTTACAATAGTCAACTGGCAGCAATACCTCCCAGGAAAACCACACAGAGTTCCTTGCCTATCCCTAAATCACCTTGGTCATGCCTTCACATTGATTTTGTGAAACCCATCAAGGAGCAGTATTATTTTATCTTCATTGATATTTACAGTGAATGGCCAGTAATTTTTCAAATGATTTGCATCAGCTTGGTGAAACAATTGTTAGGTTAAAGTAAACCAGTTTAAAGAGATTTAGTTTCTAATAATAGTTTTGTTTCACATCAGCTGCATTTTCATCTTTCTGTGCACAGAATGGTATTCAACACATTAGGACACCACCTTTTCATCCACAATCAAATCGACAAATGGAGCATTTTGTAAATAACTTTAAGAGGGCACCCCTCAAACTTGAAGGGGAGGGAACCTTTGCACAAGAAATATTAGAAGTATTCCTTGCAAGTTACAGAGCTGCACCTAATGGTAGTTAATCACTAACAACACTGATGAACCATAGAATTTGTTTCTATATATATGTTATCCATCCAAGGAACACGGTGATGGAAGAAGAATTTAACTGTCATCATAGAGGAGTAAAGTGCAAATATGTACCAAGACAACCTGTACTTGTAAAAAATTACAGCAACGGCAAAGAAAAATGAATCCAAGGACACATTATACATCACTCTGAAAATATTACATATGACGTGTATATTCAGTCTTCAATCTCAGTTTAATATGAAAACCAATTACAACCATCTAAACTTTCAGAGACCAAATCAAACTCCATTTTACTGCTGGACATTCTATTGGACACTGTTTAACTGCCTCAACAAAGCTCTTAAGAAATGCCAAAGAGCAAACATAAGACTTCAGCAAAAAGTGCACCAAAAAAAAATCACATCGACTACAAAGTAAGCCATACCCACTGCAATTAAATCCCCTGTCAAAAGTCATATAAGAACGAGGCTAAAAAGGAGAGGTTTTGTCAGAGGAAACTAAATTCCTTTCCCTGAAAAGGACGATAAATCAAAATACAATTGAGTTACATCCCTTTTCTGTCAATACACTTGTCTTTAATTTTCATTTGTTTTTGTTTATCCCAACAGTGTGGGATAGAACAGATTTCAAATCCAACAACTGGCGACTTAGTTTAGAAGTACATATTATTTCCTTCAGTAAAATTTTGCATATACAAATACTTATATTTCAACTTACTAAAGACAAGCAAGTTGTTACCAAATGACTGATGGCTGCTACCAAGAAATGGTCATAAAATTTATAGATAACTACAGTGCACTTGAAGTGACTTTAATTACAATTGTGAAGATGTTTTTTTTTTAAACAAATTTGCAAGTGGTTTTGTTGGAGATTTTACACAACTCAAGAAACAGACATTGAAGTACAAGTGTTCTTGGCCTGACCCATTACTCAAAATCTAACCAAATGACCAAACATCAGAATTTTGGGGAAGGGCTTTTTGGTCAGGCTGAGAACTTTTCACCATGTCATCATACAATCTTTTCTTTTAGATAATATATGAAATGAAATGCTGATTGCTACAAATGTCTTACCATTATTTTCCTCAACATTTGTATATATTGACTCTTGATATGATTCTGTTGGATGAGATTGATTCAGTGGAAATATGAATTCCTGAAAGATAAATGAACAAAAATTGAGTTCATAGAAAAGAGAAAATTAAGCAACACACAAAGTTTGAATGTCATGAGAAGCATAAAACATTGTTAAACTGGTAATATCTTTACAATCATAGTAATAAATAATGTGTTATAACAATGCTCATTATTTAATGTAAAATACATAATACTTATATTTAAGTCTTAAACTAACATTGCTATAATTGCTATCAAGCAGCACAGATCATAAACAACAATACCCCAGTGAAACTAAAGCCTATATATTCTTATCTTTAGACACTTGTCTTAATGTGACATTTGCTTTATCATAAGATGATCAACATACAGTATCATCTCTAAAGTAGCACTTTTTTATTACATGAAAACATTTCTTATCTAATCAGCAATCTAAACAGTTTCAAGACTTTAAATTATTTAGAATCATTTATTTATGATGGAATATGTAATTTACCTTAAAGACAGAGTGACATCATAGAAAGCCAAGGAAAATAATTTCATGATTGATGTTATGAGTTTATATACAGGAAGTTATGAGTTTATATACATTTTAACAAAAAAAAATCTTGGAATATATTTAATATTATCTTTTATTATTTAAAAATATATATAAAATACATTATGGACTTGTTGATCATTATCTCTCGATTTTCTGATACCAATGACCTACACTACCCAATTTCATGATTTATAATAGTAATGTATATACTGTGATGTGTGTTATTCAAGGTTTCCTACTTGAATTCTCCATCTGAGTAGTTTTTTTATGGACACTGTAGATGAACTTAGAAGCTGATGCACTTATATGTAAATGCAGTAAGACACTACAATATCACTACCCCTCCCAGAAATGAAAGGATTTTATGCCCTTTTTTGATATTAAGCTTCTTCTGTATCCTGTTTCAGTAGGAGAACAATACATTGAAGCCTATGCATAACACTTTTCTTTTCTTTTTTTATTGGGTTGATCACTGCTTTTGTGGTAATATTTTGTAACAGAATCAGTTTCCTTCAAAGCATCTCTGTCCTAAAAAGAAATAGACTCTGGAAATAAAAAGAAATTCCTTTTTCTTCCATCAGGCTGTCCATTGTTCTTTTCATTAACCTTTCTCGTCTTGTTCCAAACTATGTTTTTTATTTAACGCCTTTCTTCCATTCTATATCCTGTTTTATGCCCTTCATGAGTATTAAGCTTTTACTCTATCTTGTTTCAGTTGTAGGATGATACCAAAAAAAACCTATGCACTCATATGTAAATGAGGTAAGACATTTAAAATCACTACACTTCCCAGAAATGAAAGGGTTTTATCTCCCTTATGAGTGTTAAGCTTCTCCTATATCCAGTTTTATTTTTGTTGATTCTTTGACCTCCTTGCCTATAATATTTCATGTGAAGGTCAAACTTTAAAAACTAAGCCATTTATATTAAAAAATAATACATTGAACTTATTGGGCACGGATTGGATGAAACTATTCAATTTGGGAAGTCTGCCGGTAAATTAATTCTGTAAAATAAAATGAAAGTGAATTGTTCTTCCTACAAAACACTTACGGTGAGTGAAAGTTTTTTTAAAGGAGTTAAAGCAGTATTCTCTGAAGGTCTTGAAAAATGTACTGTGGTGAAGGCAATTTTTCACTTAAAGGAAAACATAGTCCCTGTTTTTAAACCTAAGCCTACATAATCTTTTGCTGTTGTGGAAGCCATTAACAAAGTGCTTGACAGATTAGAAACTCTGGAAATTATTTTACTCACAGATTATTCTGAGTGAGCAGCTCTCATAGTGCATATGAAAAAAAAAATTGGTCATATTTGTGTATGTGTAGATTTTTCTACTTAAATGAGTGTCTACTACCTCACACATATCCGTTACCATACTGAGAAATTTTTGCCAAATTGAATGGTAGAAGATTTTTTCAAAAATTGGCCTGTCAGACACTTTGACAATTGATAAATTGAAGTGGAGGAAAAATGTAAAGAATTGTTAACAATTAACACAATCAAGGGTTTATACAGTCTTAAGAGGCTACCATTTAGAGTCAAAGTGGCATCCAGTATTTTCCAGCAAGTAATGAATACAATGATAACTGACTTAGCTTTTGCTGTTGTATATTAGGACGAGTGCTATTAAAAATATGCCTGCCCCAACAAACATTTCTACTTTCTAAGGCTCACAAGCTATTACAATTTTTATGTATCAAAAATTCATAAATTGACAGTGCTTTTAAATACATTATTGAAAAAAGATGTGGTGTGTAATTGGTTCAGTAATTAGTCATTTGTCCATTTTCTAAGAATATTCCAGTTATAAAATAAAGCTACTGAGATAACGAGAAGGATTTTCAAAGTTTTCCTTTACTCTTTCCATTGGTAAACTGAATTAGTATTTGTTAGAGAAACAACCCAAGTTACAAACCATATTCACCTTGTTCTACTTTTGCTGTTACCTAGTTTTCTAGGCATAAAGTATGCATGAAAGATTTTAGAAAGAAAGTGTCACTATGATTTCAAATATCTATTGCTCTATATGTCTGCATGTGTGTCCCCATATGTTAAGGAGCCTCTGCTAATCTAAAAAAAAAAACAATCAACAGATTTTAATTTTATCCTAATTATTTTTCAGTCTTTGCCTTAATTCAACACAGGTGGGAAATGAGCATACATTTAAGAAAGAATTTCAAGTATCTTGGAGAAAGGTGTATGTTCTTTGAGGAGCAAATCAAGTAGAAACCAAAGAACCATTGAATAAAAATTGGTTTCCAGAAAACTAACAACAAATTTTGATATTATCTTTTGGTTTAGAAACAATAACTCATCTAATGTGTTTAGTGTTAGTACAACAGATTCATTCTTAATTATAAATGTCAAGTGATTCTTTAATGACAAGAAAGTAAAGGCAATTATTGTTTGAAATATTAACGTCTTCTTTCAATTTAGTTTGGAAAATCCTCTTTTATAGAAATGTCATAATTTACCTCATATTGCTTTTTAAGCATTGATTTTTCCCCATTTGCTTTGCTTGTTTGCAGTTTCTTAAACTCCTCAGGAATGGAAGTGACAAAAATCTCTGAGAAGCCAGTCAAAATCTCTTCAGCTAAAACATCATGGATAAATTGATACTGAATCTATAAATAAGAATCAAACAGATAAACAAATGACATGTAGAGAAAATAGAAACTGTTCAAGAAAATAAAAAACATCAAATATTATTGGATTTTAAGATTTAACAAGTTTAGTATGTCTAACTTTAAAAAGCAACCACATTAAATATAGAGTTTCTTATGATTCAGTGGTTAAAAGTGAAAGAGTTAATAGAAAAATCTATAAAAATTAAAAAAAAATGTTCATAATTCTACAGCATGAGGGAAACTTATCAAGAGATTGGAAGATAATTAAATGACAATGATTGAAGAAATGAATGTTGAATCTTTGACAACAAGAGTTGTCCTCCATTTCAAAGTAATGAATACTAGATACCAAGGATGTCAATTACAACAATAATAATAATAATAATTGGTATTTCTAACATCATCATCAGCAACAACAACAGCAAATTTATATGATTCCAAGTCACACACATGTTCATACCTAAAAGAATTTTGTTTCAAAATGGAATATAATGCAAATATGTAGCATATAAAATTAACAAGAGTAATGCACTTTTAGTGTTCAGGAGTTTTTAGTAAGATTCATATTAGGTGTAAAATACATTAATAACCTTATAAAAGTTTATGGTATAAGCTTTTCATAAGTATATCATGATGAAATGCTATAATTTTAAAGTTTATCACAAAGAAATACTGACATTTATCTAGAGTTAGAATAAATTTTGATTAGAAAAAGTTCAACGAGATTAACATTTAAATTGAAGAAATGTTTTTATAATGAAAGATTTAGAAAAAAGAAGCCATTATTCTATATTGATCAATAAAGAGTTTCATAAATTTACAAGATTAACATGAATGAAAAGTTTAAAAGAGACAAAATTCAAAAAAATTTCTATCTTCTGACATACTTTGTTTTGTACCATGAATGCCCTTTGCTGACAAAGTTGATTGACACATGAAACAATATCAATGGTTGGTTTTTTCCATAATTGTTCCAAAAGAATATCTAATGCAATATAAGTCCCTGTTCTTCCATCACCAGCACTGAAAGAAAAAATGATCCAAATACAAATTTATTATTTCTTTTTGTTTTATTTATTTCTACTTTTATTTATCATATTCTTTTTACACAAGGTTATCTTAAGTTCAAACAAAACATTTCTTTTTTACAAAAGAGAGAAAAATTATTTTGTAATCTTCATCTTATTTCTTTTTCACAAAATGATTTAACACAAAAAATATGTTCCTGCCAAAAGAGAGAAAAGTAAAATTTATTTCTGACTTTGATAAAATTAACAAAATAGGACAAATTTTAGAGAATTTCCCTTTATATTATTGCATACTTTATTTTTTTTTTTTAAATTTTGAAGTGGATTTTCTTTCATGATCAGCTTCCAATAAAAACTGATATCAGGCTTTCTTTTTGTCTATATAATCCTAAACTGTAGTCTTGTATGTATGTATATTTGTTCCCAAGATATAGCTCAGATGATACCTCAGTAATACCCCAGCCAATTTAGGAACATATTGTACTGTGATACCCTATCGAGTGCAGTGCCAAATCTCATTAAAATTAAACAGGAGGCTCTTGAGCTAGGGCTCTTTTTCTATTCTATGGCATTTTTAATAGGAAATTCAGTATTTGTTTTCAATACATTCTTTATATCAATCTGTGTATATAAACACACACTTATATATTATATTCCAACTTATGATCTATGTGAAGAATAATAAACATCATTCATAATACATTAAAACAACGATTAAATAAATTTAAATATACATAATACAACATATATTTATAGTACAATTCACTACACTGCATTAGAATGTTTTTTTTTATAAACAAATAGCTTGGATGTTTCTCACCTATTATTATAGATGAAAGAGGCACAGTGGAGTAATGGTTGGCAGCTCAGATTGAGGAGTCAGAGAACAGAGTTCAAATTCCAGTTGGATCCATTACATTCATTTACATGCTAATATACTTGTGAAAGGTATGAATCCTCTTCTTCTTCTCCTGGCTATGGGTAAATAGCAGGACAGACTGGTTTCTATAGTTTTGGGTTGTAACTGGAGAAGGAAACTTTGAATTCAAAACTGACCTTGAGAGGATTGGACTATCTTGCCCAAGAAACACCACTTCTACTGCACCTGCAGTATATGTGATGCCCCTACAATTGTGATAGGCCATTGGATTCACAAATGTGACTATAGATGAAGACCCTATGTGGGCGTGTGATTGTAAAACTAATCTGTACGGTTGGAAAATTGTGTCACATGACAAGGTGGTAAATAAATAAATAGATGCACGCTGGTTTGCAGCCATTACATATTTTGAAATAAATATGAAGAAGAAACAGTTATTTATAATAAAAAATATAATTATTAATTTGAAAACAATTATCTAGAAAAAATGAAACCAAGCGCATTAAAAAGGAAGCATCCATACTTTGAAATTTCAATAAATAATCATCTCCCTAAGCTAGCTATATAATTGCTGTTTTTCTTTTTTTTTTTTTAATGACTTTCACCTTTGAAAATTATAATATAGTAAATACTAAAATTGGTGTCACACTGGGGCTACTATTTATTGAACGGAAAGGCCTTTAGTGTCATATCAGTTTAATTCTAAATTCCATTCTAAAAAAAGGAAACTTTTTCTTGCAAGGCATGTTTACATTATTAAAAAGGATGTTTCAAATCAATGCTAAGTTATAGTTTTGGAACATGGCATTCAATTATTGTCAATTTATTGTTCGTTCTGAAAGTCTGTTTGATAATTTAATGTCTATCATTTAATTTCCAGATGGATTTTATTAAGAAAATATATAAATTGTTAAAATGATTAAATTTATTTTAATGATGTTAATAATTTTAATATGTTGAAGGTTTTTTTTTTTTTTCTAATCTGTGGATTAGGGACTGCATTGTTTTTACAATCTGAAAAAATTTCCATTTATTAATTATTATACTAGCAAAATTTTAAAAGGCTTGGATATTAAAATAAAATTGGACTCTTTAATCAGCTGTATTTTCAAAATAAACAAATTGTCCTAAAAACTTATGAAGTCATTTATATTTTGATCAACACTCCAACAGAGATATACTCTTATCAGTTATAAACATACAAATATATAATAAACATTGCTTATTGAATGTAATGTAAGTGAAGAAATACCTGCAGTGGACTACAAAAAGGTGGTTTGGAAGATGGTGAAAATCGTACTTTATTATTTCGAATTCAATGAAAGATGCTGGTTCCTCTAGGATACCATGATCCGGCCATATGGTGCATTGAAAATGATGTACAAATCTTTTTTTTTTCACAGAATACTAAAATAAAGAATAATTTAATCTTAAAATATAGGAGGGAATTTACATTATTTATATGTCATGATAAAATAAACAGAAAGAATAGTAATAGTTTCTAATTATATATATATATATATATATATATATATATATATATATATATATATATATATATATATATATATATATATATATATATATATAAAAAATGTCTCTCTCAGAAGACTGTCATACAATAAGATTTATAGCTTATGGACAGAATCTCTGCAGAATGTCTTTTCTTTTATCAACAATATCTTTGCTTTTTATCATTATCTGACATATTTAAACTGCATTGTGTCCTTTATACACACACTCTTTTTATGTACTTAACATATATGAAATCTTGAGAATTATAGTTTATTAAGATGCTGTAATATCCTTTTTAAATATGCTGGAATAATATGAAAATGTATAAGTCATGTGAGTTTATATTTCTTATAAATAATAATATGATCAAATACAGCAGATGTCATTTGACCTAAAAGTGATATCAAAAGCTTGTGACAGACCTTTTCATTTAGCAGTTGTACATGACAATTAGTTGAGGGAAACTTTGATTTTATTTCTAGCCTCTATCAGATTATCTAAATTATGGCATTTCTCTGAGGAATTGATAAATGTGTATTTTTTATGTAGAGATCTTATTTAAATCTATTGTAACAGAGCACTAGCCTTGTTTAAACTTTTAAAAGTATGAAGTTACAGAATGGTGATTTGGTGAGACTACTAATTGGATGATAATTGTTGAAATATCAAGAATTCTTAAGATAAAAAAGAAAAAAATCCCAAGCTTTATCATGCTTGTCTTGAAGGTCCTGTCTATAAAAGTATATATTTTGTATGATTATTTTATTTTCAAAGGAGACTAGACTGACCACCCTAATGTATTTAAATCCAGTACTAGTAGTATTCCATAAGAGTGCATTTATATAAGCTCACAAATCAGATGTCTCTCTAGTTGTGGCCATCTTCTATAGTTTGATCAGTCAAAATGAATGGGAAAAAGCATATGCTTTCTTTTTTTTTTCTTCTTCATTAACAGATTTTTACCTTCAGAAATTATCTCAGCTATTAATGTCAAAACATTTTGCTACAAGTGAGCTTTACTCCCTCCTGCTCTCTCTATCAATTTCAATTATTTTCAAGACAATGCTTTGAGAAACTAAAACTTACTTTTAAAGTTTGTTTTTTGCACGGAATTGTCTTTAATAGACATGTGTTTTCAGTCCATTTGAAATCAGTTATAAATTTTGAAAATTTATAACATCCTGTTGGTGTTCATGAGAAAATCTGTTCATTAAATAATTAGTAAATCTTTCAAACAATCAAGTGATATGATTTTATAGCCAATGACAAGATACAGTAGAAGTTAGGAACATCAGTGTCATTCCCTTGCTTAAAAGAAGAGAAATAATTGTTTTTCACACCCAAAGCTCAAGTCTTTGTTGATTAATAGTGTACAGAAAAGAAAGTCTTTTTATAAGAATATTTTGCTGAAGCCTTTAATTCGTGCTTTATGTCAATATACTTTTATCCTGAAGAAATTCCTTCCATTTTGTTTCAATCTTGTTATTGTTATCTATATCTTTATGATCTTGTAGTTGTATTGACGGCAGTAATCAATCCACACATATTTTTACTTTACAAATGTGTAAGAAAACAAAAAGCAAACAAGAGAAAGAACACAAGAAAACAACTTTTCATAACAGGTACAATATTTATATTTATAAATGACAACAGTTTTACAATAACTATTAATGAGTTACTTCCCTTTGACTGGGCTAAAGTTTTTATAATAAAATATTTTTTTACCCGAGCTCACAAAAAGCTGAATTATTCTGTCATTCAAAATTTTCACTGAAGGAGAGTTTAAAGAATCTTGTAAAGCTGAAAATATGTTGATAAACTTTTAGCTTTAAAGAAGTTGGAGAAGTGAATGTTCCGTTTGTTTTCGTTGCTCGTAGTTGAATGTATTGTTCGTAATTGTTCGTACTTGAGTTTCGTAAGATTCAATAACGTGATTGAATAGTTTTAGCAAGTTGCAGAAGTTGGTGAGTGAGTTGTTTCGTTGAAATTGTTGCTTGAATTTCAGTGAAGTTATTTCATGTTAAAAAACTTGAGGTTCTAACTTTGTACTTCGCTGCAGTAATGATACAAGCGTCGTGAACTCGTTTAGCAAATTCTAGTCGTCGTAAATTCTCATTATTTATTGTACTATGTACAAATGTGGCACAAGGCCGAAAAGGGGGCTGGGGAAAAGGACGGTCATCACTTGTCTTAAAATAAAACTTAGCTAGCCACAATCACTGACCCTATCATACTAAACAATATTCCTATCACCAAAACAACACATTTCCATACCTTTATTACTACATCCACCAAAATGCCTCTTTGACTCAATGAAAAACCTAAATACACCCCTTATGTACAAATATTGTCTGTGGGGGAGGGAGGCATAAAAACAACAACTTTTAAAAAATCCCCAATGAGTATATACAATATGTCGAAATATATTTACAAGAAACTAAACAAAATTAGTGTTAGTATTAAAACCCCCCACAAACTT